TAATTGATAATGGTTATTCGTTACCAATAACAATTTCTGTTATCGATAATTTGATTATTTATAACCAAAAACAATTTTCGATATCTATAACAACTATCAGTAACAAAAAAAATTTAATTGTTTATAATGGTTAAATAGTAATCAAAATAATTTTAAGAAAAAAAAATATAATGATTATATTATAACACTTTTCCTCATTTAGGTTTTATAACAGATTTGATCTCTGATATTTAATGTCGAAATGGTAAAATATCGAGTTTTTAATTATGACGATTATTTCACAAAATTATAACAAATTCGGAATAATTCATCAAAAAATGACAATTTAAACTATTACAACAGTTCATATTTATCTGAATCAGCTAAATTTAACAAACTATATAAAACAATTTTTTTCAATTTTGATATGTGTGCGTGCGTTTACATATTGTCTTTCTAAGATTCCTATACAAGTTTCGGTTTCGACTGAAATTAAAAAAGATTATTTCGATCTACTAATTGAAATTACTAGAACCCTTTTTTCATTTTTTTCATAATATTTTATTTAGAATTCTTAAAAATTTCGTGGTGGTCGTTCCCGATACATAATGATAAAAGTTTCCTAATAAAGAAATGAAATCAAGTCCGTGTTCATTTATTTTATCCCTTTTTATTATTACAATAATGAATTAAAACATGAAAATCAAGAAAGGAGAGAAATAAAGAGAGGAGCATTTCTTAACTCCTTTATTTTATAATATTTTCATAAATCTGTTTCAACAAAATAATTCTGCAAGGTTTGGTTTACTGATAGTAACAGTTTTTAAGTAATATTTTTAACTCTTTGAGTACGGCATGATGCTGTGCACTGTGCCGAGTTGTTTCTCAACCAAGCTTAAAATATCGCATGGCTTACCCAATATGTAGCTGGGTGTAGGACTTTTATTTGCGTTTTCTTCAATTTCTTGATATTTTTTCTTTGTAAACATTAATTATTTTTCAGATAAATTAGAAAATTAAAATGAGATAGTACTCTAAGTGCGTATATATTACACAATACTCAAAGGGTTAATCGTTTAATGTACGTAAAATTATCCCAATCAAGTTTATGCATGTAAGATGAAACATACGATGTTCAAAATTCATTATTATTAAACAATATCGTTTATATCGAATTTTCAATAAATTTTTTTATTTTGAAAATTGTAAATTAACTGGAAAAAATCAAGAAGTACATAAAGATTTTATTATACATTCTATAATTTTTCAAATCTTTTCCAAAATTTATGACAGAAATTCTATAAAGTAAAAAAGTTTAATTATAAAAAAGAATTTTTTAATATATATAAAGTATTCTAATTGTATATTATTTTTTTATTGTTACTCTTACATTTTGTTCTGTCATGATATTGTGAAATGCGTTTTCTTGTGAAATATCAGTGGAATGAAATATTATTGTAAAGCATTTACAAAACATAGAGAACAGAAGTATTTACTATGTTAAAATTATTTTTTATTGATAGATTATTATGGAATTATTATGACAATTATGGTGTTACACATTGTTTACACTATAATAACAATGAGGATAAAATATTTTTACGTAAATTAGTTTTATGTTTTATATTTGCTTTATAGAATATATTTTTTTTACTAAGATTTTTATATGAACTACAATGCAACGGGGGGATGTACTAACTTTTTTATTAATTGCGATAAAATTTTACGTGAATTCTAGATGAATCAAATCATCATTGTCGAATTTATGTATTATTTTTTCGTCACCGAATGTATGAAAGAAATTGAAGTGAAGATTAACCGTAGAACACTTTAAAATGGACACACGCACCATTTATAATCTGTCTTTCAGGTGATCGAGCCATGACCGTAGTGTTCCCGTGCAGACTTTGCGGCAAGATCTACGCCCACAAATCTTCAATGTACACCCATCTACGATTATGTGGCAAAGAGCCCAAATTCAGCTGCGTTCTTTGTGGCAGGAGATTCAAGTACAAACATAGACTGCAGTCACATCTTACATCAAATGTGCACGCTTTGCGACCATAATTTAATGGCAGCAACAATTATCGATTTAAGAGTGTCCTTTATATATCGGTATTGTAAATGTTATTTGTATTGCATTGTGAACATGTATTACAGCATGTGCACATATAAAGCAAAACTGTTAACATTAATAAAAATTCAGTTCTATTTCGCTAGCAAAAGTTATCTTCTACTAAATCCCATGACGCTCATATCGCGAATTCTTAAAAAATATTGCCAATGCATATCATATTGTTATAAAATAAATAAAATCTAATAACTGTTCTTTTCTATTTTCTCAATAATTTAATGAAAATATGCATTGTTTCAGAGTATATGTATAACCCGCCCTTCCATTTACATGGAAAGTTAGAAACGTGCAAAAATTATTTTGCACGTGAAAAAAATTTTAACAAAATATTATCTTCCTTAATTACAGCATTTTACTATAAGATTTGAAATTACGGAACGATAGACGAATTAAATATGAATTGCAGCAACAAGAGCTTCTGTAATAGGTCGAACAAAAGAACAAACATCCATGAACATACATGTACAACTTTTTTGTCTTAATACGCTCTCATTCATGCAAGATTCGAATCATAATAAACGTAATTACGAGTACTTAATTACGATTACTTAACATGGACGTGCTAATATCGCTCAAAATAAACGCAACGTTTGGTGAGGAGAAGGGAAGGGTGATTTGATAGCACAAAAGACAGTGTTTGATTTTTAGTATTGTATACTATGACGATTTTTCTTCTTTTTCAGCCTATTTGCGGAAGACGTGGATCTGCTTCCAGTGTGGTAAGCGTTACCTGTGGCGCGGCTCCCTAAAGAATCATATACGGGTGGAATGTGGCAAAGAGCCGGCCTTCAAGTGTCCCGTCTGCGGCAGGAAGTTCAAGCATAAGCATCGCTGGCAGTCGCACGCGAAATGCATGCATAGCATTAAATTGTAACGCGAGAGACATTTTACAACGAGAACTATATCGTTTTTTAATTGTTTGTGTGTATATATTTTAATTTAATTTCGAGACAAGTTTTTAGCATAAAAATACTATGCGGTATTTTTCAGCGAAATCCCAAGAATATTGGCAAACTTTGTAAAATTCATATGATTAGTGTTTAAAAAGAGGCTTTAAATGAATCTATTTTCTAATAACGAGATAAGCGAATGTTGCAATGCCTATACCAATAAATTTTGCAGATAATAGATTTAGCATTTAGGCTTATATATAGATCAGTATTTGGATTTACAGAATTGTTCGATAAAGTATTTTTTTATTTCAAACTTGTATTGTGATTTGTTATCTCCTAACGCACGTAATTCCTAAAATTTCCAATAAAAACATATCTCATTAAATAAAAATATTTTATTTTAATTCTTTTTTTATGAAATCCTAAACATCAGTACGCAATAAATGAATGAAATTAATTGAGTGATCAGAGGAGAAATTAATTTCATTAATTTAAATTAAACAACACACAAGCCTAAGCGTAGGTTATACCTACGTGCAATAAGGTGATAATCTTTCTAATTTTTTAAATTTTTTTTTTCAATGAATTTTCTCTAATTCGACTTTCTATGTATGTGACAGACTCTTCGACATTGACTTCGACTTTGATTGAGATCAAAACTTTTTTGGTTGATCTTTAGTGAATGAATTCATTAAAATTAATTTTAATATAAAACTTAATCCACTTACTATATGTATATACAATAATTATATAACCTGTACAAAATTTTTTTTACCAGAGAACACTGTGTATGAAATTTCGCAAAATGAATATAATCTGTCGTTTTACAATTTTACCACTTACATCAATTTTATGTGCAGGACTGAAGGTGTGTAACGTACGGAGTATATCTTGCAACGAGTTCAAATATACGGACTACGTTTCAAAAATGAATAGCTTCACGGACTCCACGATTGTATTGACGAACACTGACGGTCCAAACAATCAACGACTAACTCATAGGTGCAACAAATGTGGCAACAAATATACGTGGTCAAGCAGTTTACGTCGTCATCAAATGCAATGTGGTAATAAGGAGGCGACAATCTGTTGCCATTTTTGCACGAAGAAGTTCTTTAGACGGGACCGGCTTAAGCAACACTTATTTTCGTATCACGCCCAACTAATGGTTTCCAAAAGAAAGTGAGATTCTGCTTACGATGACTACTAAGAAAAGATAGTTCTTACTAAGAAAAGTGCAATACTTCGGTAGAGACCATAACTGTTATAACCAAAATGAGGAAAAGTTGTAGTATAATCATTATACTTTTCTTAGAATTTAGTTACTATTCAATCATTATAAACAGCTAAATTTTTTTTATTGATAACTGTTAAGTCTATTCTACAATTGCGGAAGCGTAAGTATATATAGTTGTAAAGACCATAACACACAAATACTTATACATATAACAAATCAAGCTATTTAAAAATAACATAGGAATTTGTTGCTAATTTGTTGTCAAAATATTCTAATTTGGAATCCATTATCTATAAAATAAGTATGTCATAAATAACAATAAAAAACTTTATCTGATTATAAGATGTAATTTGTTAAATGATGGTTATATGTCTTAAATATTTTTTTTATAATTTACTAATAAAATTATTAATTTGAAAAAATATATTTAAAATAATTTCCTTATAAAGAAAGTTGAAATGTTTTTAATAGAACTTGGATTTGTCGAAAACAGAAATAATTTTGTTTTGATATAAAATCTAATAGAATAATTTCTTAATTTATATAATACAATTGTTAACAAGTTATCACAGTTTTGAATATAAATAATTAAAAAGTAAATTATAACAAAAACGAAATAACAAAAAAGCAATAAAACGTAAGCAATAAGGAAATCAACATATTGGCTACTGCTTATATTATGGGCTTACAGACTCTACTGTGATTGATCAATTCGCTTACTGCTTACGTTTTACTGTTTAAGTACTTTTTGTGTGCCATGGCCTTAAGAGTAGTAGTAGTAGTGAACAATGTACAACAGATTAATCTACAAAAGAGCAAAGGGTCTACAATGGCAGTAAACAGTGGTAAGGCTGTAAAGAGTAAGAAATTAACCAATTACAGTCGATTATCCTTCTCATGCGACTATGATTGGTCAATTTCTTATTTTTACAGCCTTACCATCACTGCTTACTGCTATTGTAGGCAATTCTTAAGATATATCGTAACCATGATTATTGCAACTAATCAGAACGCAGTTCTATGTTTCGATCGGAAACAGAATGTTGTTGATCGTTTACAAATCTTTGCGAGCACTGAATTATTAATAAATATACGAAAAATGCTTTTATTAGTTTTTTTTATTGTTTTTTCTGAGTCTATCTAGGAACAGACTCAATCAGACTTGAGTATCTTTGGATTAAGATAGTGGAAACTTCGGAAGTGAATCGTAGAATAGGAAGTTAGAACACCGAATGATGTCAGTGCTTTAAACTGTTATTTCTCTCTGACTGGTAGATAATAGATTAGAACCAAGTATTCCAACACCTTAAAGACTCCTAATTGCCTCCTTTCCGTCTAAAAAAATACCAAGTAAATACGCTGGATTCGTTCGAAGCGACTCCGAGCAACTCTCAAGAGACAAAACAAACAATACTATTGTTACTTTTATTAAAGTGTACATTTTTGAATTTCCTTTTCGTTTAAATAAAAGAAAACAGGTGTTACGAAGGTGGTGAGTGCTAATTTACAAGATAAACAGCGAATGTTTAATTACAGACTGTATCATGCGCAAAGAGTAATAGAAAATACGTTTAGAATTTTGGTATCTCGATGACATATTCTCAAAAGGTGCAACAATTCTCAAAATAAGAAAATCATATTCCAAATCTTAGTGATCCTGCACAATTTTATGTAGCGTCTCTCAGTTTTTGAACATGGCAGGAGACACTACCGCGTCTCCTGATAATGACAGAAGAAGGAAGTATTTTTCAGAGTCGTTATACTACTGCCCCCCCTGCTTGTGCAGATCATGAAGATGAAGATGAAAATATAATGTTTGGAGGTTGGTGAACTGAGGAAGGTGAAAGAAGACTGTAAAAGATTGGGTAAACCGATGCTAATAATTCAGCTAGAACAGCTGCTCAATTCAGGGATACGTTTTGTGATTGTTTTATATCCGAAGCTGGTGAGGAAGCTGCCCGCCCTTGGCAATATCAACGAGCATTTCGTGGTTCCATTATTAATCCTCCTTTAGTTTTAAGACTTTGAATTTTGCGAATATCCATTTTCTTCGTAAATATATTTAAACTGTACAACACAAAGCATATTTTATTATAATTATAACAGTAATATTTTAAAAATCATATGTTTAAAATAAGTATTTCAAATATGTATCATTACAAAAGAAGTATTGTCTTAATATTATAATCATGTACACCCTTAGCTAAAAATATTAGTTACACATCAAATGTTATTTACAATTTCAGACGTAATAAATCAATTTATAACATTACTGTAAATTATATAGGGTGTTTGAGAAGTAATGAAAAATTCTGTCGCATAGGGGTAGAATGGACTAAACTGAGAAGAACAGTTCTCTAACATTTTACAATTTTCGTAATAGTTAACGAGATATTAATTTATAAAAATATCCAAAGCCCGGCCCACCGCCAAATGCAAGCGCGATATGACCACCTAGACCCAGCGAGACGCGCCGCACGCGTTCGCCAAATATTTCAATATTTTTATAAATTAATATCCCGTTAATTATTGCGAAAATTGTAAAATAGTAGAGAATTTTCTTCTCAGTTTAGTCCATTCTACCTCTACGCGACAGAATTTTTTATTACTTGTCAAGTAATAAATAGTGATGGACATAATCGACCATTTTGCGAAATCGGTTAAGTCGATTATGCTGCAAACCCAAGTCGATTATCATCGATTATCCTTTTTGCTGTTATCGATTAATCGATTTATAATCGTTTAACTAAAGCTGTTTTCTCTTTTTTATTAATATATTGAAAAGCACTTAAAATAAAGAAAAATTATAACTAAACTTAAAACCTTTACTTTTATTTTTTTATTTTTATGTATTCCTGAATTGTCAGAAGAATTATCAGACACCTTGTATATGTATATAGAATACATCTTTTTTTTTCTTATAGCATTTTCTCTTGGCTGAACTATCTCCTAACAGTGTAACACTCAGACAGTGTAGCGTGTTTCCATGATATTAATAGCTATAGTATAGTGCAAATAGCTGTAGTGTAGTGCAAAAAACAAACGATTAATGTCCGATTAATCGATGATAATCAATTATCTTGGGACTGTCGAATAATCAATTGCGGCCGTCTATAATCGATTTAATTGATTAGGAATAGATTAAGTGCCCATCATTAATATATAGGTACACTTTGTTTCAAGAACCGAAAATATTTTTGACCGAGGTTGAATATTGTATTTTACAAAAGAAGGCATTCTATTTTATAACATAATTTTAATATTATAATATCAATATTATCAATTTATATAGAAAATATCTTTATACATATATTATTATAAATACGAAATAAAATAAAGTTACATTATTTTGTAATATTAAGCAAATAATTCATTCAGAACATTTTTCCTTTTGTTTTTGCGTGGTATATTTCTATATAATTTGCAATACTTCAATAACATGATAATCTTTTTTCTTCTGATACTTTTACCAATGCTGCTGAAATTGATAGAAATAGAGAATCCTGTGGCTGATTTTGTTGAATCGTCTTGAGTAGGATTTTTAAAACATTTAATAATCTGCTCAGTCAGCATGCTAAATTTAGCTAAATGCTTGTTTACGGTATCGGCTAAATCATCTCGAACTTTCCTTTTTTTTATATAAGAGGAATCTGATGCAGGAACAATTTGTTTTAAAGAAGATGTAGGTGTAGATGCTGATAGATTTTGCAAAGAATTGTCGCCATCATATCCTGAATAAAGAATACACAAAAAATAATTACTAAGAACATACTCTCAAAATATGGCTCCTAACTATTCACATGCGACCATGTCATGACGTCTGAAGCTCCTGACTTGTCACCATAGGCTACGTTCCAATATTCACTGCTCTATGGCCGGTATTCATAGTCGGTTCTTATTTCAAGACTGCCTTAAGTAATGTCTTAAGATGCTAAAGCGGCCCTCTGATTGGTTCGTAACTCTTCAAGACTGAACTTAAGACGGTCTTGAATATAAGAACTAACTATTAATACCGGCCTATATTTCACGCAATATATACTATACATTTTTCAGTACTGACAGTAAATATCGGAATGTAGCTATAATCTTATTTAATCGTGATTCAATAAAAATAATGTAATTTCTCAGAATTGAAAAATGTTTCAAGATGTTTCTTGCTTACTGAGATTTCTATATATAATCATAATAAAAATTATTCAAATTCAACTTATACATATAATTTCTGTGTCAATAAATTAGAATATTAATATATATCCGATTTTAACATTGTTATCAATTCAGTTCTACGTTTTAATTGATGTAAATTTGTTTCTTTTGATTGAAATTAATAAAATTTTCATGAAAATTGTGTATATATGTCTCAATATAATATTCTTTTGTAGAGAATTATTTTTCATTTATAATTACTATTCACATATGTATAACAAATATTTCTTTTTTGTTATGTTGGTAATATTGTTTCCAAAATTGCAAAAATCGGAGAAAGAACTACAATGATAGTCATTAACAATATACAAAATCGCATTAATCCGCTTCAAATAACTATTTAAAAAATGTATAATACGTCTTCTCATGTAAAAATATCTAATATTTTTTCCTATTAAATTTTGTACATACGATGCAAATTTAATTCTGCAGCAGCACATTTATTTTCAGCACCTTCGAGCGGTATACATGGGTCATTTGTGTCTAACTAGATTTTAAAGATCTTAAAGTGCTCGAAAAATTCTGTAAAAATTCACACATGTTCTTTAAGGTTTATACTTTAAGATCTTCTTGTACATTGATTTCAATAAACAAAAATGGACATATTATATTGTTAATATAATAAGAATTATAATTTAGATACACTTATATGTAATTTTTTAGTATTAATTTATAAGAAATGACATTATATAGTGATTTTCTTTAGAACATCACTATACATTATAGCTAGAAATTAGTATAGAATTGTGGCACGTATTTCGCATTTATTTTATATTTGTTAATATCCGTCATAATGATTATATTAAATATACATATATAATGATTATATTAAATATATCCATCATGATTATATTAAATTAGTTATTTAGTATTGTTTATGTGTAAATAAATCTCATCATGTACATTTCACTAATTTTTATTTCTTATTTTTCTTATATTATAATACTAATTTAATTCTTATATTATAATACTAAAATAGGATGATCCAAACCCATCAGAAGAGCCGGCATGTATGTATGTTAAAAAACTGAATTAAAAAGTCATCTACCATTTTGCAATTTTCACAATTTTTTTGGTTATCCAACAAATAGAATTTTCGTCTAAAATCGGCGCATAAGAAAACTTCAAGATATCTTTAAGAGTTTTTTAAGAAATATCTTTGAGGTATTTCATAAAAAACTTTGAAAGATATTTCATTGTTGTCTTACATCGATTTTACCTATTTATTTGACAATTTTGAGAAATTAATATCTCGTTAATTGTTTCAATTATTGTAAAATGATGTAGAGGACTCACTATGTTTTCATAAACAGTATGTACATGCTAGCTTCTCCGGCTATCTGGATTATTTTAAGAAATGTTTATTATAATAAAATAAGTCTTGTTTTATATATATGATATATATATATATATATATTCGTAAAAGGATACATTTTTAATTTACTTGGCTTTTTGTAATCTTATCTTATATATGTATACTATATTGAGTGTGAGCGTAATATTGTGCTGATTGTGAATCTTACTCGCATATGGAAACAAAAATGTCGAAATTAATATTTAAAAAATATAAATTATTTTACGAAATTCTAATCTTTATTTAAATTTTTTTATTTTTACAGATGATAACCAAGGCTTTACTATATCTTCATTTTTTTTATTTCGATACGTAATGCATTAATCGCTTACATATTTTTCAGTTGATCAGCGATTGACTTATTATGATTGTATCTAGTTATTTTTTATTATTTGATACGAATATATTATTTTTGTATGGTCAACTATATGATTAAAAATCATAATTAATTCTTATAACTTGTATTCATGTATTATTTGTATAATATAGTACCTATAATAAAAATTTGTTTCTTTATTTTTTAAACAAATTTTCTTCAATATTTTTTATATGTATGTACAATAGTTTATAGTACGATTCTTCTTTATAAAATATTTTTTTTATTTACACGAGTAATTTTCAATTACATGCGATATAATACTCGATACACGATATTCAACATCAAAGTATTAGATACATACACATATTACATATCCTAAAGGATTCTAACCATTTATTCGAAAGAAAAGTGTAAAAGTACACAACGATTATTTGCTACAATGCTGCAATGATATAATGTAAGATTAGCGTTCCTCCAACACCAAGACGCATTAAATCGCGCGCTTTCGATGTTTTGGTCGAGAAACAAGAGTCGCGAGAACAGCTTAATGATCATCAATCTTTCTTTTCAGCATCTTCCCAGAAATCCTGGTCTTGCTATCAATGCGGCAAACGGTACATGTGGCGGGACTCATTGAAGAAACATCTGCGGGTTGAATGCGGGAAAGATCCTACCTTCGAGTGTCCGATCTGCGGAAGAAAATTCAAGCACAAGCATCGGTGGCAGTCGCACGCTAGACTGATTCATTATATTAATATATGACCAAGTTAAGAAATGATCGATGAATTCTGAAACGATCGATATGCGCCAACAAAGGATGACGTTCCTGATTTTTCCTTGTGCCACGTTAATGATCGCGCCCTATGATTAGGATTCTTTAAAATTTCTTAAAAAATTCTTTAAAACAATTGCGCAAAGATCATTCAATATTTTCTTTCTATTTGTGATTATTTTTCATAATTTTCTGTGACGTTATAGTACAAAATATTTTTTTATTTTTAAATATATTGGTTAAGATATATTATACATACAGTTAATTTCCACGCACATATAATACTTTAACATTATGGAGATTAATTAGAAATGAAAGTCCTAAAACGCAAATATCAAAAATTACATTAAACTTTGACTTATAAATTATCGAAGTTGATCAATGATTTCGCGTAAAATTAGCGTGTTCAGGTTTATTTTTATAATTTATTATTAATTTTTACTGATTTTTATTATTTATTATTAATGCATTATTAATGCATTATTATTTAGACGATACAAATTTTTATAGCTCACTGATATTGAAATTGGCTCCTAATGAAATATAGATTGTTATACAAAAATTATTTAATCTTAAGTATTATAAAAAATTTACAATTAATTATCATTTTATAACTCATCGCTTCCTATCGTTGTGATTTGTATCTTTAGATAAATTATACGGAATTAATATTTCTTAAGAAGTCGATATGTATGGTTATCTGCAATTTTAAGAATTATCGAGTACGTGAATCGGTTAAATGTTAGTTAATAGGGAACGATTGTATTTCGAATGATAATAATATTATGACGCGAAGCGATACGTGCCGCTGCCTCAAGTCCATGGAACGTACAAAAATGTAAGACAGTAAGGAAATCGTAACACTGGATTCACTACTGGCTTTAAATCTGATCTACAATTGCGTAAACATGGTTGCAAGTGGTTGTAGTTGTAATAATTCTCCAATCACAATTAGATATTCTACTCGTATTCAACTAGTCCATTTTTACAACTATAACTACATTTACACAATTCTGGATTGGTCTTTACTATACTGTGAGTGGCCAATTCACTTATGTTTTACTGCCATTTTTTCAAGTGCTTCATTGCTTGAGCGTTATTGTACGAATGAAAATTAATAATGTGGTTCGATGTACGGCAATGCGGTGCGTGCGGTGACCTTTGTGTATATCGTAGTTGTTCAGTAATTTTTTTATATAATAATACGTTATTTTGTATTATATTTTTCTATTGTATTATATTTTATATATTTTCACAAGATATATATTTTTAATACATCATAAAATATATTCTCGCCAAATATTCTTGCATTTTAAATTAATTTCAATGAACGAAGGTTAAATCTGATGTATATAACTTAAAGAACAAGATTCACTGGTATAGTGATAAAAAAATATCATTCGAATGCAATATATTTGATGTAATACATCTTTTTAAGTGGCGTAATTAATCATTCGAATTCATCATAGAAAAAAACTTTGAACCTATAAAAAAAAGTTAAATTACACATTTGCGTATAGCAGTAAAATTTGTTATTGTTATATTAGTATCAGATAATTATTAAAGTGAGTATTGCATGTAAGAAAATGAAAAATAAGATCAGAGTTGTAAAATACCATATTGTATATTATTCATGAATTACATGCATGTAAACATAATCATGAACCTAAACGCACAAACTTTACGCGACACATCAATTCTAATTAATTTTAATTATAAATAAAAAAATTTAGAAAAAACTATAAACTATGGATCTGTTTTTTGTTCCTGCACTGTCTAGTACACACGGTGTAATAAGTTGAAGTGAAACAAATGTACGTTTGTTTCATTTTAACTTATTGCACCGTGTGTACTAGTTCAGACAGTGCAGGAAAAACAGACCCCTTAATATTTTTAAATTAAGATTTTTTATCTAATTAATTTCCAAAATAATTGAAGTACTTTTTTATGATTAAATATTTTATACACATGCGTTCTATTTATTTAATAGAATATGTGCAGTTATAATTATAAGTAAGATGTATTTTTTTGTTTTTTTTATACAATCGTTTCTATATTAGTTTCTTTGTTATTAATCTTCTTTTTATTTATTATATTTAGATCGGATATCCTCTTAAGGTGATTCTTTAGGAGTACCTATTTAGGATGTCTCTCTCTTTCTCTCTCTCACAGACTTTAACTTCATTAAAAGTAAAGAAATTAAACATTTCTATGATAACTGAATTTACTAAAGAACCACCTTAAATAAAAAACCAATCTAAGTACATGAAATAAAATCACAATTGTCAAAAATATAAAAAATATTATAAATATTACAAATAGTATTCATGTTTGCTTCCTGAGATTGTTTATATAATTGAGACTATAAAGAACAGAAATGCGCTTGAACGGCGTTAAGAAAGTGATGTAAATAAAATATTTCAAAATATTTCGGTATGCAAAGAGATTTCCTTTCCCCTTTAAAAATCCTATTGCCAATTTTTATTCAAAATAATATATTCGTTTAATGGCTATTTAATTATGAGGCTACGTGAATGTGTGTATAATATTATAATTTATTTGCAAACTATGTTCTTTTCTTGCCTATTTTAAACAATTTAATATTTCGCGTTAAAATTCGGAATACAATTCTATTTATGACCTTATTTGCCATATACTATAAAAAAAACATTCGAAGGACATATATGTAAGATACAAATTAAAATACACACATATGAAAAATATGTAAATTACATTATATATAAATTATATTTGTAATGTTATAAAAATATACGGCATATTACGAATCACAAAGAATTGTATTGTGAAATTTAATGTCACTTCTATATTGTCTAAAATAAGTTTTAATTATAATATATTTTAGCATACTGTAGAGAGAATATATTTTGAGAATGTACATGTCCAAAATTATTATGTTTCAATATTTACTCTATTTACAACATCCCTCATTCACGAATTTATTCGCATTTGTGGCGCATTCATCGATAATTGACAACTGTGCAAAAATCTCTATATTTTTCTGTATTGGTCACATATTTTGTTATTTGAAATTTTACTAATCGGAAATCGCTATCACTTTCAGGGAATCAGAATAACAAAAAATTATAATCAATCATAACTTTGTTTTAAATTATATTTCGGAAGAATCTCATTTGCCTACAAATCGATTGTTTACAGCATTGTTTGCCTAAATCTCATTTGCTTACAGACTGATTGCCTACATGCACTTTTGAGCATTAATAAAAATTTCAAAAACGAAGTTACATTTGCCTCTATGTATTTATTGCTTACAGATTGATTACCTACATGTATTATTGCCTATATAACTTGATTACCTACAAACACTTTTCCACACATAAAATTGAGAAACGAAGATATATTTATACATATATTTTAATTTTATTGCCTACATATCGATTGATAAGCACAATATTCTATGTTTTAAAAACAAATTCTACTTTAAAGCACAAATTCTTTGCTTTAAAAATATATTAAATTTTATTTGTGCACAAAAATTCATTTAGGCAATCAAGCTGTAGACAATAATACATATAAGCAATAACAAGTTCATGTAGATAACAATATATATAGGCAAATGTGACTTCGTTTTTAAAATTTTTACTTGTGCGCAAAAGTGCATGTAAGCAATAGAGCTGTAAGCAATAATTTTTGTGCGCAAACGAATCGTCGGCAAATGTGATGTAGGCAAACTATGCTGTAGCCAATCGATTTGTAGGCAAAAGAAGCCTTTTCCTATTTTTCGAGCAAATACATTTAAGTATACCTTAATAAACTTCTGCAATTAAAAGGTTTAAGCTCTTTTTTACTTATCTGATCTCGATGTGATAGCCTGTTAGTAATAAAATAATCACAATATACCTTATTTTAAATTGCTACCAAAGATTTAATCTAGCTCCTACGCTTTTTTGTTTCGTTTTTCAGTCCCGAAACTGGTCGTGAAGAATATACAGAATTTGAGATACGCGAAGAAGCCAGTAATCTACAAATGCACGAGATGCACCAAGAGTTATCAATTGGAAACATCCTTACGAAGACATCAGAGATTAGAGTGCGGCGTTCATCCCAAGTACAAATGTTTAATATGTGGCAAACAATTCACGCATAAATTCGTATTAACTCATCATTTAGCGTCCTGCAAGAAAAAGACAGCCTGGAATGATATGTGGTAAAATTGCAATTAGAGACGAACTCTTGACATAGGGTAACAATTGTCGAAATCACTTTTCACATAAAGATATGTAACTCAGAAATTATAAAGAAGATATTCTTAAGTTTTTTACAGCATAATAAACTGCATTCTTTTTCCTTTCTTATGTAATTTTTTCAAAATTGTTTGCATTATTATGCCTAATGTTTCAAATGAAAATTTTTCAATATAAAATATAATACGATTTTGGCAACAAAGAAATCCGTTGCCCAAATCCCACTAAATATTGATAGTTTATATTCAAAACATTATAATATAATGCGAAAAAATTTTTTAATTATATAAGAAAAGGAAGAATTGTATTTTATTCTACTATTAAAAACTTAAGAATATATTTTTCATGATTTCTAAAACATATGATAATTACAGAAAGTAATTTAAAGAGTTTCTATATGTGAAATAAAATAAACACTTCGTAGATACATTTTTACATAATAAAAAGAAATAAATGCAATAAAAGGTACGAAATGTAAAAACATTTGGTAACATGCGAATGTGATACGATTTAGGAGACTATGAGTCTGTTTTTTGTTTCTGCAGTAGATCAGATAGTGCAAAAAACAGACCTTATATCACGTGCAATTTCGCTATGAAGTACATTGAAAAATAGTAACACTCACGATTTTTTTATTTACATAATAACAACACTCCTATATTGCACTTTATGTTACGAGTGTAACTCAGCAGCGTAGTATACAGAGTAATTCTTAAATAATCTGTAAGAGAGATAGATGAGAGAGAGAGTGAGAGAGAGAAAGAGAGAGAGAGAGAGAGAGAGAGAGAGAGAGAGAGAGAGAGAGAGAGTGAGAGAGTATGTAAGTACAATAATTGAATTTTTTAGTGTAGTAGTGCGATTTCGACATTTTACCCTATGTTGTTAAAAATTGCGTAATTTAACGAGATTCAAATTAATCCCATGTCATTAAATCATGACAATTGAAAGGATTTATTTTAAAACTAGTATTTTTTCATAAATCGAATTTTTCCAAATTGTATGACTAATTGTAAGATTGCAAAGGCAGTTTGCTCTCGCTGTACAATTTGGAGCAATAAAATATATGCGTATAAACATATACTGATAAATACATAATTACATATTTTTTAAAGGATTCTAAATTTATAATTTGTTTAAAAACTTTTCGTTTATATTGTTAAAGAATATCACTTTTCATTATTGAATGGAAAACAACTATAAGCTCATATATGTATATGTAGTTATATATACAATGTGTATCTGATTCAAATATCTTATTTTATCTGAGACTAGATTTTCAGAATAAGTACACGATAAGTCTTGTTTATTGCGTATGATAAATTGATATTGTATACTTTATTAAATAATTCCGAATATTTATTTTTCATACATGTATACCAGATGAAATTTACCAGACTTATTCGTTAAGATATTAAAAATTATTAGGATTCTTTATTTAAATTAGATTTATTAAATGTATATAATTATTCTTAAATATTTAGGATTGGAGAGAGAAAAAGAGCGTTTCTAATTTCATTTTGCATAACATCTTTATATAAACATATAAGTATATAATGTCTTCAAATAATATAATAAAATATCTAAGGAATACATACTGATATTTTCATTTCTTATTGTATAAAAATAAAAACAGAATTTACAATACCAAGCTAAATATACATTTGTATCAATAAGTTAACTAAAATCTTAGTATTGTAATAAAATTTTATATGTTAATTCATTTATTTAATTACTTCCACCCTTGACATCTACTTTTAAATATATCTAAAAATTTTAGTAATAAATGACAATTTCTACTTTGCGTAAAAGTCCGCAACAGCATGCGTTAACTCTTTTTTTTATCTCTTCATCTCATTTTTATTTTCCGCTCTTTTTTCATGATTAATCTCTTTTGCATCGCACTTTCATCAATCTTATATCCTTACAGCTTATATAAATTTTAGCAATACTCTGATCAAAACTTTTTTTATTTTCCGGGCGGAAGTGGAAGTCCTAACTGCACGAACTTATACAATATAATCACTGCAATGCTTACCAGACACTGGCAATGGATAAAATGATATAAATTTTTAACGTATTATTGTTAATAATTGTTTATTAAACGCTCATAATTAATTAATATGTAATTTTTATTTTTGATATTTTTAAATTTTATTCCATTTTTTCGATTTTAAAATATGTTTACTCTAATTTTTTTATCTTTTACTAATTTTGTTTTTTTAATAACAAAAGAAAAATAAAAATAAATCCTACTAGGTCAAAAAAACAATTAATTGAGCTATAATGTAGATGTAATTATTAAAACATATAAACATTTATTATTATTAATGTCAACATCAATATTTGTTTTTTTTTAGTTTAATTTAATTATGATAATAAAAGGAAATTTTTTTTATATGTGTTCTGTCTGCAAATTGTGTTCTCTCGGATTATATGGTTTTTAAAATTATTTCTAATTAAGCTGCAGAGAGAAGTTGACGATCAACATTACATATTTCATCAGCAAATCATTAAAGATGAAAGAAATCAGTCTAATTATAGATCAGTCCATCGACATTTTTAGCTAGAGTCATTTTGTTTGATCTCTATTTCCGGTTCGGGGAGCATTGCGATTACGATGTAGCGTGGAACAAATCGCAAACACATTGTCTAACCATATTGTCTTTTCGTTGCAGGTCTACTGGCACAGATGCTGATGTCGCAGGACCCGCAGGACAATAACGAGTGGAGCCAACGTCGAGCGAGTGATGGACTATCATACAAGTTATCCAGATTTAATCGAAAGAAGAGCATAGGCGATCCTAAATATGAGTGTAATAGGTGCGGAAAAACTTATAGGGCCACGACATCCTTAAGCCGACATAAACGACTTGAGTGCGGTGTCGTACCTTGCGAGGTATGTCCTATCTGCGAGCGCAGATTCAAGCACAGGTTCGTCCTAAATGCCCACATCGTTGGTTGCGAGAGAAGAATGAATCAAAAGATACAGAAGAAGGAGTTCGATTAAAGACCGTGATTAATCAGCGATAAGGAAGAACGAATGCGATTATTACAAGCGAAGATCGTGACAAATTGTATAGAGCAACTAATGGAACTGATTGTAATGTTTTTAATCGATGCGATGTACATTACCGCTCATTAATTTCAATACACTACCCAAATCGTCGAACTTTTGGAAAGTAATAAAGAAAAGAAGCTAGTTTCAGCAAATAAATCTACATTGTTTTCGGCATATCTTTTGAAGGTATACTGCACGCCAAGAGACCTTTTCCAAGTGAACAATTTCACGCAAACTTTGTCCTGCATTTCTTAAAGCGACTATGGCAGATCGCTTTTTGATTGATAACTCCTTTTTAGGAATCATTTACGAAACACTTTACAAGTTTCACAGTATCGCACAATATAAAGCGAGCAATAACACTGAAATTCTTTTACTATACGTGTTAACGAATCGATTTTCAAAACAGCATTTTGAAGACGTATTCGCTATTATTACAAACTACAAGCACCTTACGCGTGTTTTTGTTTATTTCCATGGTCAGACACTATATATGTAGACACTAAATATAGCAATTTTCCTCAAAAACTACAATTATCAAGGATTTTTATATAAATAGTATATAATAGGATGCATGTGAGTGCGGAAAGTGTTTATAACAGCAGGTGGATTCATTTCTATGCACAAATATGCATATCACGTCTATCCTCTACAAAAATATTAACGAATTTAGAAGTGTATTGAAATTAATGAGCGGTAGTGTACTTTCAAAATATTTGAAATTAACAAATAATTTCACGTAAAATAGAATACTTATTTGTGTACTAATGACATAAGATGAACGTATATCTTAAGATAACTAGCTGGCAAATCTTAGATCTGTTTTCTGTGGCTGAACTAGTGTACACTTTTAGAACTTAAAGAGAGACACACACGTTTGATATTTATTGAAAGCAAGAAAGAGAGTTCTAGTGCAGTCTAGTGCAGGAACAGAAAATAGACCAATTATTTCAACTTACAAAAATAGAATAATAATTTTAGGAGAATAAAGTAATAATTTTAAAAGATATAACTTTAGATTCCAAAAGTCAAATCGAAATTGCTAGAAATGCAAGAAGAGATGCGTTCTAAATTTTCATAAACGCTTCAGTATATTTACTTTCGTGAGCAAAAATATTTTTATCTTTATTTCTTTATTAATAGAAAATCTCTTTTTTATCACTTTTTTATTAATGGTTATTATAATTAAGAATGAATATACGGATTTACATGCGCGTGAATTCATGACATGAAAAAAAAAATCTTTTCGCAAGACACGTTTGTTATGTCTACGTAGGTATATTTATGACGAATAAGGCAACGTAGTCATAATGTATTTAATCTTTTATTACTTGTGCAGTTTAGTCAAGAATAGTCATATATACATGTAATATGTATAACATAGTCAGCTATATTCATCTAAGCCAAATGAATATTGTTATTTTGACACAGACGATAATATCGTCTATGCTTTTCACTCCGCAAATCAATACTACAAATATAAACTTCCTATTTTTTATTATACAATAAGATCTATACTTATTTAATGCATTAACACGTAACCTGTATGTATCATACATATTGAGAATATAAAATTGTTAAAATACTTGTATTTGCTCATTCATGTATTAATTCATCACGACCGTTCTTTATGATTCACGTGTACAACATTTTTATATGTTTAACATTCATATTTAATCAAAAAAATACTAATAAAAAATAATAATAATACATCTTTTAAATTGCACGATCATTTGCATCTGTTTTTTGTCAAGTTCACATTTAATCTACTATAATTTGTGTTTGTAAGTTTTATTTTGATAGAGACAACACGCGCGGTTCACAATTTAGAAATTTTACTTTATACGTTTTTTTGTATTATAATCTATGTATCTAAATATACGATAATTATCTGTTTGTTTTATTTAATTAATTGAACGATAATGAATAAATGATTTTTCATATGAAATTTAATTAATCTTTATTTTTTTAATAGAATTAATTATTTAATAATTATATCTATTATTTCATTTTCAACACATAATATCTTTGTTAAAAAATATAGATAACATATTGTTATCACTTTAAAACTGGAAATTATCGTTTCATACAAATATTCTTTATATAATTTATAATAATGAATATTTTACATATATTTTTTTGTGCGATTAATTCTAATTTACTTATCGTAGCAATATTTTTTAACAACATATTTGATGATTTGATTAATTTAAATATTTATTAATTCCACATACATCGGTTTAGTAGTTTTTGTGTATTTAATTATGCTTCTTTGCTATATGTTAATGCTCCATTAAATTTATAAATATGCATTTTAGATGACCTCATCGATTTCAATGTCCTTTAGATATGTTGTAAGGGAGAGTATTCTGAGTGATTCCCCACAAGAATTAAGTGAGGGACGGCATTGGTTTAAGAGATATAATAAATTGAAGTTGGTAAACCTTTACATTAAGGGATACTTCTTCGATGACCTTGATTTTGACATGTTATAAAGGTGAAGGTACTGATTTACTTTTCGTTGGCGGTGAAGTGTCACCTAAAATGCATATTTACCAATTTTTTTATAGTTTTATACTTATACTCATTTATAATATTATATCTTAAAAACTTAATAAAAAATTTTTTTATTTAAATTTTAAACCTATGTTATCTTCTCTTTTTTTCAATTTGAGAACACTATGTTTACAGTCAACAATCTCGTGAAACGATCTGTTGATTTATATCCTTTTTCCACTCGTATCAATTATGTCAGCAGAACTCAAGGTATGAAGCATGTTTTGTTATGACTTCAAAAATTTTGAATAACTTTGAAAATGAGAACAGTACGACTTTGTAATATTTCCGACGGATGCTGTAAATTTTATTATATTTAAAATTGTTATATGTATTTTTTATGTAATATAATTAATACAAATTATCAAGCAATTTAATTCAGAGTTGATAAAAATCAAGTTTTAAACATATTTTGAACTTTCCAAAATATGCTTAATCAATGTTTTTAACATGTTTTAAACATTTTTTTTTTTAATAATATTTAAAGTATGTACATAGCATTAAAAACATGTTTGAAAAAAAACGCAATGTTATACTAGAAGGTTTGCGGATTATGACCGTGTTTTTTATCTATTGCTAATGCCAACTTTTCGTGAACCTTGCCGTTCACTTTATCAGGGCAAGGGGTGCACTAATACTGAGAGGTGCACTGAAAACACAATGTTTTATTTTAAAAAATACATTATTTTTTATCAAGCCTGCAATGTATTATGTTTTCTTCTTATTATCGACTTTGTCGCAGATAAATAAAACGAAATATTATATTTTTCCTAAAATTTCTTAATAAAACAAACTATTATATCAATTATATGTATTATTTTTCCAACTATCTATGTAAATATATAATTTATACTTTTATTATGCATTGTACAACAATTCTCTTTCATTTGATTTAATATATCTCCAGTTGATAAATAAAGAACATAAATCCATGTGATTAAACTTATTAAATCAGGTCCATTTAATTTTTCCTTCATAAAAATAACAATTGTTAAAACTTTAATACAAAATTTAAGAATTGTAAGGGTACATAATTTAAGAAATGACTTCTGTAACAACAAACAAAAAAGAAATAAATTATTATAAGATTAAATGTAATGTATATTTCAAATATTGATATAACATATTCATTGCAATATATTGAATTGAGTATTGATTGATTCGTCTACTGAACCTCTTATCGATTAAACTAAATCACATTAATCTTTATTAAATTGTTATTAACGTCAATTTCGCGAAAATAACAAAATTTTTTCGTATTCCAGACGGTGTCCTAATGAACAAATTTGAACTAAATACTAATCATCTGAATGCATCCCGACATCTCGTAAATTGTTACCAAATGGAGCCGCTACCGAAGCAATATTTATGTGGTGAATGCGGCAAAGTGTATAAATGGATGGACAATCTACGCCGACATCAAAGACTGGAGTGCGGCAAGCTACCTAAGTACCATTGCGAAATTTGTCTAAAAATGTTCTATCGTCGATACGAATTAACGAAGCATATAAAATTGAAACATATAGCGTAAAAAATTCACCCACAATGAAGTGTTTATTGTAACATATTTCTTACATTATTTTTCCTTTTTTTTCGTGCATTTTCAGTAATTATTTTTAGGATTCAATAATTTCAAGTAATTTTCTTCAAAATTCTTTGTATTTCAACATATTTCAATGTCCAATAAACTGTAAAAATCATGTACTTTCAGTAATTATTAGGATTCACAATATTTCAGAGTATAATTCAATATATTTAAATATTAAAGATATTATTTATGATGATATATATTATGCTAAAGTAATTTTAACAATATTTTTTTATTATTTTCATTTCTTATTTCAATGATTTCATTGCCGATTTTAATAATTTCAGCGATTTTTTTCCTTCAGGGTAATTACATATAGTATTATTATTAATATTTATGAGATTTGTCCGACCTCTGCGTATATTTTTATATATATATATATATATATATATATATCATGCTATGCAACATTAATAAATTGATATGCCAATTAAATTGACCGATCGTATAAACTCAAAGTATAATCAATCCTCGCATAATAAATATTTTTTTATGGATTAAAAATATAGCTATTAAGTTTTTTTATTTTTTCCATCCCCTTATACTCAAATTTATTTTATTTTTTACGATTATACTAATCATACTACATGAATTATTATATAATGAATTGTATAATATAAAACAACATGTATGTACATCTTCTAGTCATTAGCGAAATAAAGAAATTTGTATTGTGATTACAAAGTATGTTCTGCTAAAGAGATGGCGATGATATTGATAAAGAAGTTATTCTGTTATATAATCATTTATTTTGTTAATTTTCTCTGTATAATCTGTTTTATATTATTGCATCAGACTGTATTTATATTGTAAAAAAACATTATCATATACGTAGTATAATATCAACTGCCGTTATAAAAATATAAAGTATTAATAAAACGAGTATTTATTGTATAATTGTCTATCTTGCAAGTCTATCAATAAAATAATATTATTGAAAAAAAGTAATGTTTGAACACCATGCTGCGTTCCTATTACTTTCCTGTTTATCTCTCATAAAAGTTGCACTTATATGACTTTACATTTATTATTCAGTCGAGATTTATTATGGAGCGGAAAATTACTTTTCGAATACATCGAAAACGTATTCGCACGCGATCATCACTTTATCTGAATGCATGCGCTTATAAAATTCTTTCCTCATAATTTCTTTCTCATCTTCACGAATTTTCAGCTGATCAAAACGTAAAGTTAACAAATATTTCTTTTTTCTTTTTTTATAGATGATGATGAAATGTCCAGTTGGTTAATTGAACCGTTCGTAAAGCAGGAGCTTAATGAAGGAGGCTGCTTTGAATTCGTGACTGTCCCCAATCTGTCTTCAAGGCGTAAGAAAATGAAAGAAACTATCCCGCTCGTTTGCGATGAATGCGGAAAGCATTTCTCGAGGATCGACAGTCTCAAAAGACACGAGAAGAGCTATTGTAAAATGAAAATCAAACCGTACCCATCTGATCAAGACAAAAGTTGAAAGGAAATCATTCTCTCCGTGCAATTATATAAAGTGCGTCATGCTCATGCGCCTTACAATTAGTTACATAGATAAGGATAATGTGTGTTAATGTCATCGATTTATCTTACAATTAGATTCATTTAAGTTTTTCTTATTTTACGAAAATCTATGAGATTTCATTATCAAGAAAAATTTTCTAGTAACACCAAATGTTATTTAGATTAGAATTATAAATTTAAAACGTTAATTTATTCTTTATGGGTCAAAATCCTGAAGAATAAAAGCAGGCGCCTTATTGAGATATTTTTTGCATTTCTTAAAATTTAAAAATCTACTATATGATTTCTAGTAAAATGGAATATAGAGATAAGGTTATCCTGTACATATTTCAGACCTCCTTTTGTTCAACGGAAGGCCTTACCCCTACGCGTAATGGTAGAGAACAGAAAAAGCTAATATTGTATTGTGATTAGAAACCTATATAAGAGTCTGGATACGAGAAGAAAAAAATTTGATTGTTCCATCGTTTGTGGCAATTCCTGCTCAAATTCAACGTTGATAACTTGATAAATTCACATAGGAGAAATAAATACATAAACTTTTTAGAATATTTTTGTATTTTTAACGAATATTATACACACATGGACTTACTGTCATATCATTGAGCTAATAATAAAGCACTTTTCCTTTTATTATACTTTTCCTTTTATTTATAAATTCTTAGTCTAAACTCTAAACATAATCAATTAATATAGCAATTATTTGTGTAAACAGATTATGGCACTTTAAAATATCACATTTAAATGTAATATTATTAAAATTTTTTATTAAAAATAATTTAATATTATTTATACTATAAAAATATTTTGTATAATATCAAAATCTTTGTTCGATTGCTATAAAAATTTTTAATGTTTTATATTAATAAAAAAATAAAGAATTTTTTGTGTAAAAACATTTGATTTGTTGATAAATTTTGTAAATGAATGGATATTTTAATTTATTTTTTGAGCCAGAAGATTGTAAATATAATAAATATGCATCACATATTTTAGATACTTTCTTAATATAATTTAAAAGATAACCACACCAATATTGTATAAGCTATTTAATTCCTTATTTGACAACTTTGCTATGGAATTTTTAGAAAAAGGTGGAATTTCATCATTAAATATTATTTGTATTATTGTTAACAATGAAGACATAATGAAAATATTGATTTTTTGAAAAAAGTTATTCTTCCAAAAAAATCAATATTTTCATTATGTCTTCATTTTCTTTTTACAAAAAATGCTAAACTACACAATTTCTCGATGTTATTAGATAAAATCATTTTAAAATCATTTTTACAAATCATGCAGTAGTAATAAACTCTGATTTATATAACTCATCTGCTAACAGTTCAAAGCTGCTTACATCATTAGAGAAAACATTTTTAGCTTTGTTTACCTTCATTTTATCAAAATTATTGCAAATGAGATCATTTATTTTTAAATGTGCTTGAATATCGACGGTCCAATATACATCGTAATTTTATTTATTTTTAATCTAGGCGTCAATAAAAGTTCGAAATTATCTATTAACTGAAAAAAATGTTGTAATAAAATTTTATTTGAAGGTAAATTATAGTTTAGGGCATCGAGTGATTTTCACCGCACGATGCGATTGACTCGCGATCTATAGATTCGAGTTCAGTCCCATCTGCGCCTACACGCGATTTTTCGTATCTAAGGAGCTGAAAAAGGCTCTGGTGATTCAGAAATTTATGATGACCAGCGCTGTTCGGATCCGACGTTAAACTGTAGGTCCTCTATATAATGGATCATATCTAATGATTCCTGGTCTGCCAGGTTGGAGGTTAAGACGTCAGGTTGATTATAAAAAAATGGCATTATAAAAAAAACTTACTATACCAAAAAGCTTAACAAATGTGGGTTAGACATCGAACAACGTCGAAAGACGTTATAAATCCATATATACATATAAAATAAATATGTATGTATGAATATAAAGATGTACGTGGCATTTGAAATTCATACAATTTACAATTTTTAACAATTTTGTATTATATATTTATATATATATATATATATATATATATAAATTATATTGTACTTAATCATCGTATTATCATAGATAGTTATTACTTTATTATTAAGTACAGCTTGCTTTAAGTTTTGTAGTATATGTGGTGGGTCACCAATAACACATAAAAATCGATTAGAATTAAACGGATGTATAATTTTATTAATTTTATTTTATTATATCTCTTCCGCTACTTATTCCTAATAATTTCCACAAGCCAGTATTTTATTGAGTATTTACTGAGTAAGATAGGATTCTGTGGATCAATCACTCGCAAATCCGAAAAACAATCTGATTCAAGAAACGAATATAGGCCTCGGACAAAAGTGGAAAAGGCCTGTAGACGTCTTATGCTTCACATAAGGAAATAAAAGGGTCATCATCATCATTCCTTAGTGAATTGATTTTCTGTATTTATTTGTTCCACAAACAAATTTTAATCGCAGAGCACAATGAATAAAGTATCCTGTGTGTGACCAGCTTCAAACGTTATATTTTTTCGCAAATAAAGCTTTTATTATATCATCATTATTATTACTATATCATTATTAAATATTGATTTCAAAGCTTCCTTATATTTATCATTAATAATTTGATTTTCTAACGTCCGTATTTTAGATTTTAAAGCTTTCATTTTCTTTTTTGCTCTTATTACATGCAACCATTATTTGTGAATAATTTTATCACACTTTTCTTTGTTTCCTTACTTCTATTATACATGAAGTACATGGTATCGATGAAATATGCTAACTGAAATATTTGAAAATCTATAAATATTGATAACAATGATATACACATATACCGTCTGCAAATAATGATATTGATAACATCCATAATAAAAATATTTATTTTAATTGCATTAATATTAAATATTTTATGTATTTTATTATAAAAAATTCGAACATACTAACTTTGTAAAGAAGTGAATTATTTGTTGATATCCAATCTTCTCAATTAACATTTTTTACCTGAACAACTTGTCGTTTTTATAGGATTTCTAGAAAATCTTTTCATTATACATATATCCTTTGGCTGCTGGATAATATTAAACAGCATAGTCACCCATTTTTATTATAAATATTTAATTAATACGTTTTTATTCTTATAATATTGATATTTTTGACACTGCCAACATCTGCCACTTGAATGAAAATATGTAGAAAAAGAAGGTTAGAATGAGTAGTAGACGAAGATAGTATGCGTGTGTGTGTGTGTGTCTAAAGAATTTTTTTATTGCAAAAATGAATTCTAAAATTGAAAGATACAATAGACAGTATAAATACTACATATTTCCTTAATTCATAGGAATTATTTGTACAAAGTATCTATAAGTGAAGATCTATAAGATTTTCTAGAACTTTTACAACCACTTCAATATATTATAAGTATTTGTTGATTTATATGCATACTTCATAAGTTTATACTATTCTGCAAAATGCAACATATAACGTAACAATGACACATTATGAATTTCATGGCGGAAAAAACTACATAAATTAAGACAAGATGTTATAAATTATTAATTTTTCATAGATATTCGTAATGGGATGTGGCGTTGTTTGTTTGAAAAATTAGGCAATCCTCCGCCCTCAAATAATGCTATATGTTATGTTCCATTACAAATATATATCTACGAAAAATTAAAATTTTTTAAGATCTTGTCTCAATCTATGTAGTTTTCTTGTACTTTTTCATAAAAAATCTTTTTCGTTATTATTACTTCTTTAATAATCTAAGTAAATTATGTTTTTATCAGTATTAATAAAGTACAATGTGTTTATAGTTTTCGAGAAATAAAAAGATATCTCTTTAATGCCCATTTCCACCAATGTAGATTAACTTTAATCTCGGTTCAATTTGCTCTTTATCTTTTTCTAGTTCCAGAAATTAGAAAAAGATGAACAGTAAGATAACTTATTAGTTAAATTTAAGATAACTTATTGTAGGTATTTAAAAAAAGAAATTTTAATCCGAACTTGATCTTCATGGGTAATAATATGTTAGAATAAATTTGTGTATATGTACATGGAAAGAAAGTAACGAAGTTAAGTTACAATTAGTAAAAAAGAGTAATTCTAATTGTAACCTCGTTAAAAGTGTAACGAGTTACTTCTCATCTGGTTTTTAATAAGTCGCTAAGTATACGTATATAATTATATATTATCTTAAGTCTATTTTAAGAGCATTCGTTTTAAATTTTATTTCCAAAAAATAAAATTAATAAAAAAATAAATAAAAAATTGTATACAATTTTTCATTAAACTTATTTTTATATTTTTCTTGTCTTTCTTCGTGATATTCATATTCGTGACTTTTTTGTAAAACGTAATGTTCACATATATAGAATTTTTGTACAAAATTTAATAAGCATGTATGTATGCATTTTATAGTTCATAAATAATTTTAGTTTTCGTGTCTCTATATATATCTATGATATAACAATATGATATATGTTTATGCACTATCATTATTTTTCTAATCAATAAATATCTTTAAATTTTGAGAAGGTAACTTTTTTGCTAAACTTTTAAACCCTTTTCTTATATAAACTTGTCTATATAATCTAAGAAAAACGTGTATCACGATTCTTTTATTATTTTCCTATAACAAAAAAACCACCAAAAAAATTATCTTTGTGATTAACAACAAATTAAAATTTTTTAATAAATTTTTCTCTTTTTTCTCCTTCTCTCTCTCTCTCTTTTTTCTCTTTAATTCCTCTATAATTGTACGACTTTCCACACTTTATAATTATCAAAACCAAGCTCAGAAGATAATTTTTAAATTGTGCATGCTGCTGGCTTTATGCTGCTCGCGCTTGCCAGTCGCCCTGTACATCTTGCCACATATACTTACTTTTTAACAAATTAACGGTGTCCTTACAGATGAGAATGAGCAACGCACCGTAGAAAAGAGCAATGATGAGGAACCGGAAATCTGCGAAGTAGCCTTTCATGGTCAGCTTAAGTACCTGCTCTGTGACTCGCCGATCCTTAACAGCGTGGAGGCAAATGTGGTCCAGAAAAATTCCAAGTCTTGTCAGCAATTCCGTTGCGATGGCTGTGGCAGAACATACACTAGAGTCGACAGCCTGAAACGTCATCAGCAGAAATGCGACGAGTTTCTGGCGTCTTTTCAGGATCGACAGGAAGCGTTAGAAAGGCTTCAGCTGCAGGAATTTTATTGTAATCAATGTGGCAAATCGTACAAAAGGCTAGATACTCTGCGTCGGCATCAGCGCAATCAAGTATGCGCTGACAAAGATAGCAACAATTCTTCAAAAGTAGATAAAATTTAGAAGAACTTGTAAGAAGTCAGATCGCGATATCGATCAATCTTAGAAATATATATATTCTGTGTTAGTTATGTAATAATAAATAAGATAAAATAATATAACTTTATGCGAACGGGACTCTGAATTGACTGTCGATAAAAATGTCAGTTAATTTATTAGTTCAAATGTGCTTTTAAAAGAGTTACACTGGCATGTAGCATCAATGACTAATTTTCTCGTAATCGAATAGTAACGGTTTATTAATTGTACAATATTAACATTTCACTTCATTAAGAATATGAAACAATGGAGAGAGAGAGAGAGAGAGAGAGAGAGAGAGAGAGAGAGAGAGAACTCTTCGTGTTTAATCGTATACAGTCGATGAGAGATTAATGCCTAAATTCTAAGCAGAATTGTAAGGCTCATAACATATTCTTTTGTAAGAATTTACAAGTGTTTATAACTTTATGCAATATGTTTACATATAGCTTCTTGCTAGCCGTAAAATTAATGAAAAATCGTTAGACATTTGCAAATGATCGTACATATATATTATGGCATAAAATTAAAACATCGGTCATATGTTCTCTTAGAAGTCTTACGAAAACAAATTACGAACCTTATGATTCTGTTTGATCCAGCTTCATATTCTACTGAACTTTATCAGTATCTAATGATATTTATAAAGAAAGCGTGTGCAACAAGATCCAAAAAATTAAAATGCATATAAATGTAATAAGCCTCTATTGTTCATATGTAATTAAAAAATTTATGAGACACACACACACACACACACATTTTTTTTATTTATATAATATAAATATATATAATTATTATTTATATTATATTTATATAAATATTTATATAAATTTCGTCCAAATCTTTAGAAGTACTACAAACTAATAAGAATTATTAGAATTTAATTTATTATACATATATGTAGATATTACTAAGTAAAATCTTTTTTTTTTTCAAACAATTGTTATAAGTTTTTTAGTCGCACAACGTAAGATAAAAATATGTAAGTTATACAATGTAAGTTACACATACAGATGTATTCTACTTATACTTCTCTATGCATAATTAGTTAAGTTTTTTTATAAAAATATTAAAAATCACAGACATAGACATGAAAAGAAATAATCGTAGAATTTAGTTTCCTTTGGAATAATTGCGACAATAATAATTATGTAATAAATAAATGATGATTATTTAAATGTCGAAAATAGTGATGTCACTTTTTTGTGTGTTCCGATCTCAATCGTGAAATAATGATTACAGAAATTCGATTACAAAAAGTGAAATATTATCGATTCGAAAAATCTAAAGTATTTATATAACTTCTACCTAAAAATATTCCTCTTTATGCACGCGTAGAGAATTAATATAGGAATTCGTTTCACAATTTCGAATCCCACGTTATAGAATAAAATACTAATACGTCTCGTCGAATCGGCTCCTATCAGTCTCGAGCTTCATGATATTATTGCATGCCGTTCATTCGTACTTAGCTTCGATCTCAAACCAAATAACTGCGACGCAACGCGAGTCTTTTTCCGTAACTTCAATTCTGTTTTATACAATTCAGACGTCACCTAATCTCCGGTGCTTTGCTTTTTTTATCGCAGGAGTGGATCAACCGGAGGAGTATGACGCCCTATGGATGTTGGAACGAAAGGCGCGCAGCATTGGTCAGGAAAGCCAGGATTCCCTTCCATTCTCAAGCAAGACGTACTCGAAAGCACACGATACTTTAGGACGTGGTGGCGATTATCCAGTTCATATGTACAGCGGAGACTCCTACATACCAATGATACAGGCCTATGTTTGTACCGATTGCGGCAAGAAATATAAATGGTTAGACAGTCTGAAAAGGCATCAAAGGGTGGACTGCGGCAACAAGGAGAAAAAATTCTGCTGTCATGTGTGCGACCGAAAGTTCAAATATCGATACGAACTACGGAATCATATTACCGCGCATCATTCCGGATGACTTCTTCTCGTGGAAAGTTTTCTCTTTCGAATGTTTGCGGATTAAAACAATATGATCTGTTGCGGGATATTCTCTAAACGTTTTTTTCGATAATTGTTGTTATCGTTAACTAGCGACAGCCAATGAGAACCGCGCTTTCTTTTAGGATTGTTCTGCCATTGGCTGTCGCTAGTTAACGACAGCGACAATCGTCGATAAGACATTTAGAGAATTTCACTACATTTAAAGGCCGACAGGAGTTATAATGAAGATCTCTGTTGGTGACAAATTTCTCTTATTATGGCTAAAATAGTGAGAAAATTCTGATATAAATGCGAAATTCGTAAATGGAGAATATCTGCATAAATGTGATGAATACTGTTAAAAAGCGATTTTTCGGAAAAAGAAAGTGCAAAATAGAAATTCGTTCTATCTATACATTCTATCGAACTACATTATATAGCTAAAATGCAGATAATTTTATTTATTGTAATATTTTTAATGTTTAAATTGTAAAATTTGACTGTTTAGGCTTTATAGCTTCGTGTAAAACACACCTAAGTTAAGAAAAGTCTCATAGCGAAATGTTATTTTTACGATACAAAATATAGGTTTCCCGTGATTATTTTTAATTGCAATGAAAAATCAGGTTATTTTATTTATAATATTATAATAACTAATATATTATTAATTAAAGGTGCCAGTGCAAAGTGAACATACATATAAAGTATATGTAACTTTGTACTGGCACCTTTAATTAATAATATATCAGTTACTTTTCATGGTAATATATTATTATTAGATAAAAAGGTTTAAATTTGTGAGTATCCTTTTTTAACATGGCTTAAACTTTTCATTTTTATGATATGATTTTTTTCGGATATCACTTACTTTTTAGAGTACAGATATATCAAAAAAGTATACACAAAAAAATTATTTGAAAATATTATATAACGAAAGAGAGTGAAATATGGCAAAAAAAGGGGGTGGGGGTAGTGGAGGAGAAGGGAGTGCGGTGGGTCGAAGATGGTGAAGGTGCGAATGAAAGGTGAGAGAGGATGTTAGAAAGTTTTAATACGGACCTTGAATGCGGACAGAGAAAAAGAAGAAGAAGGAGAAGAAGACGTTCCTTAATTTTTCAATAAAATCATCACTTTTCGACCGCTTGTATCTCCAGAATGGCTTGACCGATTTTAAATTTTTTGGCTCAAATTACTCATGGGGATGCCGCCTTTCAAGATATGTAACGTTCGATTCAAAATTTTTTATGTTTTAGTAGTTATGCACCCCCCAAAAATGAATTTTGGTGGCTCAAAATTGCACTATTTGGATATCTATAGTAGTAGGTCTTATAACTTCGTAAAACATTTCTGATGAACATTTTTTCCTGAATTGTAATGAATAATGATCTGTAGATAATTCCAGCTTCAGTTATGTAGACCCGATTATATAGAAGACACGAAATGACTCCTTTTGTCTATAAATCGATTGTCTACAGCATTATTTGTCTATATCACTTTTATCGACAGTTCGTTTGCTCACAAAAATTGTTTACAACTCGATTGCTTATAAGCACTTTTGGTATACAAATATATAATTAAGATTAAATTAAGTAAGAGAAAATAATTTGTATTTTTAAAACAGAGAATTTGTGTTTTTAAAACAGAAAATTTGCGTTTTAAAACAAAATTTATATTTTTGAAGCAAAGAAAATATTTTTTTCGAATTTGTTGTCGAAATTTATGAAATTATGAACAATGCATCGATAGAGATTGGTTTTTTTAAACAATGATATTTTCGTTCCCAAGAAGATTTCTTGTTTATAATCTAAATAATAATAAATAAAAATGTTAGAAATTATTTATTTATTGTTGTTATAAGAACAAATGATCTCTCATCTTTGTGTATGTTACAGAAATAGAAGATCAAGTAAATAATCATAAATTATTTCTATATTGAATTTGTTATATTTTATATGACATTGTACGAATATCTTAATCGTGCAGTATTAAAATTTGATATTTGTTATATATAACAGATATAAGATTTAATTTGTGAAAAATCTTTGAGAAACAGTAAATCATTTTGTGTTTTATATCAATATATGTTGAAAAAATAAATTATTATATACATATTAAAAGTTGATCTGAATATAAATTAACAAAATAGTTATGAATATAGAAATATACACTACCATATAACTTTCAAAAGAAATATTTTTCTGCTTTTTACGATAGCATTGTTTTTTAGCGACGACCGAAATTTTATTATATTTTCTAAGAATTATATTATCATAATTTAACTTATCTCTCTCTATTATTTATTATTTTAATTAGTTATTACAATGTCATAATATCATATCTAATATTCATTAATTTTATTTATATCAATCTTGCTATAAACATTCTACTATAAAATAGAAACGAGTTAATTATATTTTTTAATTACATGTCCTTATTATACCTGAAACTATAGTAAAACTATAGTTTTTTTTCATTAGCATTTTTAGTGCGAATAATGCAGCAGACTAAAAATATTTTTAACGCAAACAAGATGTAATTTTGCCTATACATATTAAATATATTGAAAACAAGTTCCAAGGAAATGAGAACAAGTTTTCTATCTCCTGTTACGAAAAAGAGATCCCATAATCCTATGAAAAACCTGATCAAAGATGCCTTGTTTACAGTCGCTTTTATGGTGAATGGCTACGTGTAACTCAACTCATGCTGTATATGTCCATGTCTTTGTCGTAATCCCGTAAATAAATCCTTCTAGACTAAAGTATGATCGCCAATCCCTAGGGCAAAAGGACGCAATGATTCTGACGAAGTTTTACTGATTCTCTTGTGTGTTTTCTAGAACACAAGCACTCGCCAGGTGACGCCATCGAATGGTACTATCAGTATCAGACAATGTATCTACGATTGATGGCAGAGAACCAATTGACGAAAGAGACAACAACAGGAACAACAGCAACCGAAAATCAAACAAGTTGTCCTGATGATATCGTCACTAAGAAAATTCAAAATGGCCAACCATTGACAGAAGTTAGCAGCAACCAGGTAACCGCGAGTAATCGCGATTACTTTTACTACTGTCCACGTTGCGGTAATGCCTACACGAGACCGCACTCGTTAAATAGACATATGAAATTTGAGTGCGGTGTGGAGCCACAATTTGAATGTCCTATTTGCCACAAGAAGTCCAAACACAAGCATAATTTGCTGTTACATATGAGAACTCATCAAAAATCTTAGACCATTTGGTGCCATTGAATGATATGTGTGTGTGTGTGCGCTCTAAAAGTTTTAATTTTTAATATTATATAGAACTTTTATTATTATATAGAACTTTGATTGTTATATAGATCTTTTAGAGCGCCTCTCGCGTATTTCATAAGTTAAAGTGCAATAGAATTTAAAATGTGCAAGTTACATTAAAAAGTTCAAATTTTTGGAACTTTTAAATTGACTTTTTTTTATTGAATAACTGACAAAGATATTTGTGAATATTATGTCTCAAATAAACGTTAATTCTAAATAATTCTAATTTCTTTGGATTTTTAGGAAAAAAAAGATATTAGCGCTTTGTGCGATTCTATTATGCATGAATATCACTTTGTGATTAATCATAGACAATAAACATTCAGAAAATCTAAAAACTAAATATAAACAAATTTAGAATTAACTAACAATTCATAAATATAATTGATATTTTATCTGATTTGTATTGATACGAAAGAAAACGGCACAGTTTAAGCTTTATTCGTAGAGCTTAATTGATTGAATTATTTATTCATTAATTGAGAAGGAAATTATACATTTAGAAAACAAAAAATTTAGCACTATTAATTTTTAAAAAAAAACAATACAAAGATATTATAAAGGAAAAGGGCATATAAGGCTCTTTATGTTCTTTATAATATCATTGTATTGTTTTTTAAGAAAATTATTTAATCTAAATATAATATTAAATATTTTATCATACACACACACAAACAGCTTTGAACTAAGAATGTATTTGATGTATACTATGTAGGCATAAGCAAAGTGTGCTGTCTAAAGTATAATAATGTCATATGAACGAGCGAACAACTAATGGAACAATTTTGGTATGTAATTATGAAATTTTCCAAAGAATACATAAGATAGGAATCACACACAAGATACCTGATATATCAAAAGGAACATTAACATATCAGTTTAAATAATTTTAATATCAACTATCAAATTGCAAAAAATAGGGTACAAGGAACTTTTATTAAGATAAAACTCTTGAATTTAGCCTATATTTTACAAAATAATACAATAAAGTTACCACTAGTAAACGAGATGCCTTTTAGTTGTTCTAATTAGTCAGATTTGCAATTTTGTGAATGTAATAATTATAATATCGAATTAAATTACTTTAAATTACTTTAATATAATTATAACATAAATATAAGACTCAATACCAGTAAGATTACTGGTATTGATAAAGCCAGTAATTTTTATATATGTAAAGTGTTCAAGTTTTAGTTTTTAAATCATATAGACATATATAATATATTTATATATGCATATATACGTATATATGACGTGCGTGCGTGCGTGCGTGCGTGCGTGCGTGCGTG